CTGGGGCCCTCATGGGGCGCTCCTGGGAGGCTGGGCACAGACCAGACCCTGTGGTTCCCTGACATGGAGGTTTCCCAGGCAGGGAGGCCATTCTGCCAGCGACCAGGGGCGTGACCCATACATGGCCCCAGCCCACGAGAGCCAGGGCACTTACCTGCAGGGGGACGTCGACACGGCCCGCGATCTCCCGGATCACCGCCTCGGTGACGGCCGTGGAGGCATAGCGCTGGTTACTGTTCACCTTGATCACGGGGCCCTGCACAACACCCAGACTCAGCCTGGCGCTGACCCCCAGCTGGGAGGGTGGCGCCCCCTGGCAGCAGGATCTGCCCCAGCTCCCAGCAAAGCTGCCTGCCCTCAGCCTCCCTGAGCAGGGGCGTGGCACTGGTGTCCTGTGACTGGCAGGGATGAGGTCCTTCCCCAACCCTCCAGGGCTCCCGTGCTCCACAGCCCGCCCCCCAACGGGGCGCTGGCTGAGCCACGCACCCGGGAACCCCGCGGGGACTGGCTCGAGGCTCAGCCCAGGCCGACAGGCTCTCAGAGCAGCCTGCAGATGGGGCTTCGCTCCAAGCCGGGATCGGGGCCCCCAGGCAGCTGGCCGGAGCCAGGCGAGCGCTGGGGAAGGGCCCTGGATCCAAAGAGCCTGGCTCTTGGCAGGGGGTGCAGGGAGAGCTCCCCCCCCCCAGCCCCCGCCCTGAGGGAGCCCCCAGTCCCAGCCGCTGGGAGGGGGCTGCGCTCACCTTGTGGAAGGCCGGCCGGTGATTCTCCTCATGCTTGTCCCTGCAAGAGAAGCTGAACGTTACTCCTGGGCCGCCCCCAGGCCCCATCTGCTCCCCACCAGTCCTGAGCCTAGGGGGCAAACTGCCCTCCCCCCGCGAGGGCTTCACGTGCCGCCCCCCCCGGTCACTCACAGGTAGTTGGGGTGTGCGGCGTGGGCCATGTCGGCGCTGATCAGGTAGGACTTGGCCAGGGCCTCCTCGAAGGCCGTCAGGTTCTGGGGCGTGGCCGAGATGCGGCGCAGCACCAGCTCGGTCAGCAGGGACTCGGCGCCCTGCGCGCTCTCCGACCCCACCTGCAGAGAGGGCCTGGTCAACGCGGCTGGCAGCAGGGGGGCCTCCCACCCCACCCCCAGGGCAGCCCATTCGCAGCCTGCCCCAGGACCACACGGGAACGACACCGTTTCCCCCAGGCTGTTCCTGGTGCCACTTCCCAGCAGGAACCAGATCCCCGCTCCATGGGAACGCGCCTCCCTCTGCGGCTGCAACGCCAGCCTCCTGCTCTGCCTTGGAAAGGGGCTGCAGCCCCC